ACACACACACACACACACACACACACACACACACACACACACACACACACACGTGTGTACTTGATGATACAATTTGTTAGGAAACATTTTTGTCCCAGTTTTACCTTTTCTTTATCATGAAAACATTTTTAGATTCACAACCCTCTCTTTCCATGTCTCTCCTGCTGTCACCAGCTTAACCTGCCAGCGTGGTGTTTGCTGTGATTGCATAATACTCTGGGATGCAGCAGCATTAACTGTAATGTAATTGAATTGAGCAGAATACAGTAGAATTGTTGCTCAGAGTGCTGTACGGTCTGTTGAGCGCAATTTACTTTTATGGCAAAACAAAATTTAATGAGTCAGGCAGTGAATTTTAATCCTCCCACTGCTCTTTTCCTGTGCTGTCCTTTCATCACACAGATGTGGTACATGGACATGTGTGTCTGGGACAAGTTAAAGAAAGGCCTTTTTCATTAAAATGGATTTGACTAGTTTCATAAGGATGACAGAGGTGTAATCTCACAAAGACCCCAGAGTGCACTGTTCTCTCACCAGCAGTGTGTGTATCTTTGCTATTCTGCATGTATGTTGAGATTTGACATCATTCAGAGCTTTATTGACATATGCAAAAAGATTAAGTCAGAAAATGTAATGCAATGGTTTGCTGCCATCCAGGATTAGAAATGGAAAAAGTAAATATATAGGAAAGGGAAGGTAGTCAGGACTGAGGGAGATTGCACTACCTGAAGGCAACATTGTAGACATAGAAGACAGAACTTGGAATCCCACAGGCAAACGGGAAACATGAAGAGCTTGCTAGAAAAGCTGCAACCACCAAATACCTGCAGAGACTAAGGCAAATCCTGTAGAGTCAGTCGAATGGGAAGAACAACCATCAACACCTACGCCTTGCTGGCCGTTAGATATCCTGTTGGGATTATCAGCTGATCAAAGGAGGAGATAGAAGCCACTGATATCAAGGCAAGAAAGCTGCTTTCCATGCATGGAAGCCCAGCACCCTGAGACTGTATGCTAAGTGGAAGGAAGTAGGTGGAGGACTAGTGATTGTCAGAACCACTATTATCAGGAAGATGACCACGACTGATTACTTGCTTAGTCAATACCACAGGCAGCAGAAATCTGAGAAAGAAGAGGAGCAAGAAAAGGAACCATCATGGAAGGACAGGTCCTTGCAAAGCATGGACCACCTTTACATAGAAGTGGCTGATATTGGGAAATCCTACCAGTAGCTAGATTGAAAGACAGCACAGAGGCATTAATCATGGCAGCAGAGGAACAAGCTCTGAGCACACGATCCATAGAGGCTGCGGTCTACTACACCAGACAAGACTCCGGGTGCAGGCTGTGTAAAGATGCCCCTGAGACAATCCAGCACATAACAGCGGGGTGCAAGATGCTAGCAGGCAGCGCATACATGGAACGCCATAACCATGGAACGCCATAACCATGGAACGCCATAACCATGGAACGCATAGTATAGAGGAACATCTGTGCTGTGCTGGGCCTGGAAGTCCCGAGGCCAAAATGGGAGACCCCCCTCCAGGATGATTGAGAATGACTGAGCTAAGATGCTGTGGGACTTCCAGATAAACTGGTGATGGCTAACCATTGATAATGGACATGGACATAGTAATGGTGGACAGACAGAAGAAGACAGCTGTAGTGATAGATGTTGTCTATGTGCCTTGCAATAATAATGGTTGTAAGTCAGGCTGATCTCCCTTGCAGACTAAGAGGCTTCTAAAGAAATTGGGTACAAAGTCAATCTCTTCATGTTTTGTTAACATTCAATCAAGTGTGTACGCTGGTGTGTCTGTTCTATTACTGTAAATGTTTTTATTCATGTTTTCTGACTTACTGATCCAACAGGATTGGTTGCCATAGTGTTTGTGCACCATTTAACAAGAGTGTCATCTGAAGGCCACATCGACGTTTTTTTTTTTTGTTTTCTTTTGAGCGGTTGATGTTGGAAAGTAATTGTTGCCTTGTAGAACTGATGGCTTTCATCTTAACTCATGAGGCAAAATTGAGAAACTGTTTTCAAATTCATTAAGATTCATTGTTTTGCCATCCCTGTAACAACATGCTTGGCTGAAAAAGGCGTTTAAAACCTTGTCATTTTGAGGCTGTGGAGCAACTGGCTCAAAAAGATAACAAGTAACATGCTTTTTCATCCTTGCCTCTCTTCTTTCCTCTGCCAGCAGTTCAGTACCAGTCGAGCCTCTATGGAGGAAACAGCAGCAGCAGCTCTCCCGTCTCCAGCCGTGGAAATTCACCCATCGTGTGTGAGCGCTGTGGGGAGGTTTGTCGTGGGGAGGTGGTGCGTGTGAAGAACACACACTTTCACGTTAGCTGCTTCACTTGCAAAGGTAAAAGAAGAAAAAAAAAACGAATAAACCCACACACAAACATGCTTTATGTATGTATTTATTTATTTGTTTTTTACATTACACACACATAAAAAACTCATTAAGTTTGCACCACAGTTATATCTGCTTCCGTACTCCACTCTTACCCTTACATACAAGGGTTTAAATTCATTTGTTTTTCAATCTTGGTCTAATGCATTTCATCCGCATCAATTTACATAGTTAAATATTAAATAATTACTCAGACAAGAAGGAACCAAGGTAATTGAATAATTGCTAGCTTCTTCTTGCTCACTGAAATGGAGGCTGAACTACAACTTCACCAGGAACAGCCAGAAAAAATTAGAGACACCGATTTGGAAAACAGTTCTGTCATTAGCGACAAAAATTATGTTGATGTAAGAAATATCATTTAGCACAGTGGAAAGATCGTTGGTCATTTAAACATATAAGGCATTGTACTTCTGTCCAGATTTTCTGGCCACATAACATGCATAATATCATATTTTAAATCACCCAGATGCACATGTAAAGAAAACCGCTATACATAATTGTTCAAGGTCTGTTAAATAACTTTCCTCCTTTTTTCATGTTGTTCCAATTCTGGATACTCACGAAAAACCTGGTTAATTGGCCTGAAAATGAGGTTGAAATATGTACAACTGTGTTTTTAGACAGACTGAGGTCCTGTGTAGAAAGTTATTTAAAAGACTGCAATGTTTTGAAGTCATTTAACATGTATTATAAATAGAAAATGCCCCCAGTAAAAAAAAAAAACAACAAAAAAAAACAATAGGTGACTTGATACTAAGAAATGTGTTTTTGTTTTTTATTTTATTGTCTTCTTATAGAATTTGATTCTTGCAAAATGTTTCAGAAAAAAATGGTCTAATGATAACGTCTACAAATGAACAAGGTTAATTAGTCACCTGATTGAGCATTCCTGAGAGTTCAGGCTCTTGGGGATGCTCGAAAAAGCACCAAAGTAAGAAAAAAAAAAGACAGAATGACTGATTGAATGACTGTGATCTTCAGGCCCTCAGGAGACACTGAAATAAACAGTTTGTAGCTGCAGCCATTAATGGAAAACTCCACCATGCAAAGAATCACGTATCAACAAGTTCCAGAAGTGCCGATTTAAGGAGGATTGAAGTGTAGTGGAAAACTGGGACCATGTGGCTTGTTGCCAACACACAGTTCAATCTCAAGCAGGAATGGGGGACACTGTTGTTTGAAAACCACTACATTTGGTCTCTTCGGTTCTCAAACACCCATTAAAACTCAAAGTCAAAATTTTCAGCTGAAGAGCTTTCAGCTTTAAAGACTAGCTCGTGTGAACCAAATGCATATGCCTGAGACTGCTCTGAAATCTTGGAATCCAGCTGTTTTTTCTATGCTTGTGATGAGCCACGGTTTTCCTTATATGGCGACAGGGCTTATAAGCTCTGGGTTCTGTACATAAAAGCAGGCGAGGGGCAGCCAATGAAAAAAAAGAGGCTTTCAGGGATGCAAGTCTTAAAGAAACAGGAGCTACAAGTGGCTTATTTGACACTGAAAATGAGCAGCAGCGCTGCATCAATGCCATGCATAAAGTAAAATAAATAAAGGATTTCTAATTTACCCTAGCAGAAAATTAAATTATATCGATGTTAAGGAAGCGGCTTTTTTGGAAAATACGCTTACCACGCTTGCTTGTAGAGATAAAGCTTAGCTTTGCCTATTAGTTTCGCATTGCACAAAGACACAGTCTGGGTGAAACAGGTAGCATGGGTATGAATATTGCTGTTCTCCAAAAGAAAAACCATGACTTGCAACTAAGGTTAGCAGTAAGGTAGTAACACATAGGCAAAAAATTGTATAAAGTGAGCAAATCTCCAAAAATAAATCCTAGCTGTAAGCAGTGGATGCAGGTGTAAAGAAGCAGAGGAAAGATTTAATCATTTAGATTTAGTGTGAGGCGCTGTTTTTAGTAACACAGCTATACGCTTTTTTAAAAACATGTTTATGCATGACAGTGTGCATTTGTGCATGTAGTTGTGCGTGCAAACCCGGAACTATATATGTCACTTGATGTCTCTGCATGGTTGAGCTCCACCAGCGAGCAGGTGGGACAGAAGGCACTAACACAGCTTTGCAGTCAGCAGCTAGCTTAGCAGTGCAGTCAGCAGGTTTTCAGCCCCTAGTCAGACTCCAACCAGCTAACCTCCTTTCACGGGCCGGGACCTACACAGTCCCAAAGCATACTGCAAGACAACACAGTTTTCTCTGTTTGATCTAACAGAAGCATCGCATCAATGCACTCAGTCACAAAGCACAGAAGAAGAGGATTTTCTTTTTTTTTTCTTTTCTTTTATGGAACGCCATGTTTTATCTCACGCACCATTACTTACAGATGCAGATCTTAAAATAGCCTGAGGTGAAATGACTCTTTTGGTTGTTTGAATGAATAATTGATTATCTGCTCGATTGAAGCACTCACTCCTCCTGACGGGACATAAGCCAGATGTACTGACAGAAGTGTCCCGTTTGATATTAAAGTTCATATTATTATGGACAATTGATCTTGCAGAGTAAGCTTAATGACTTTTAGCTAATGGCACAGTCCATTAGTACTTCATCAGCAGAGGAGACGACAGCTGATGGAGCAGACAAGAATCAAAACGTCAGCTTTTAGTACACAGATGTCTGGTTTTTCCACTCTTCTGCTTGTTATCTTCTTGATTCTGCTCTCCTGTGCTGTCGCTCTCTCGTCCCACATTCTTTGTTTTTTAGATGTGAATGTCAGTGAGTTACAATGCATCTTTGGTAAACAGCTTGCCTCTTAACGTGACTATTCAGGAAAGAACAGGGGTATTTTTAGGGAACAAAGACATTAGAGTGAGACGGATGAGGCAGCTACACTCTATTTTAGAGTGACTCAAATTGTTTTTTAATGTGTTGCGAAGTGACTAGTGGTGATGGTGGTATGCAATGAAATCAAGATCTTGGGCCTTTTTAATGGCATATAAATTAAACGTATTGAAAACCTGGAACTATTTAATGACAGTTAATTATAAGTTTTCATTGAGTCAGAGAATAGAAATCGAGATCAGACTGGCAGTATAAGAAGTCTGTGATGTGATGCATGAAGAAAAGACCGTGCACGTTTTTTGTGACACTTTTAGTTGTGAAAATATTAACCAGTTTGTTTTATTGAAATGTCTCAACAAGTATTCAGTAAATTTTTGTCTAATTTGGTGACTTAGCAGCAATAACATCAAGGTATATTTTTTCTAGGACTTTATCAGTCTCTTACATGGTTGTGGAGGAATTTTGGACCACTTTTTCTACAAAGTCATTTTAGTTCATTGAGGCTTACGGGCATTCATTTATGTACAGCTCTCTTAAAGTCCCACCACAGGATCTCATTTACCAACACCCAATTATTTTCTTTTTCTGAGATTCTGTTGTAGATTTGCTACTGTGCTTGAGATCATTCTCATTTTGTATGACCCAGTTTGGACCAAGCTTTAGCTGTTGGACAGATGTCCTTATATCTGACTCTAGAATACTTTGGTACATGGTCGACTCAGTGACTGCAGGGTATCCAGGTACGGTGGCTGTAAAACAAGCCCTACGTCCTTATTCATCCACCGCCATGCTTAACAGTTAGTATGAGGTGTTTGTGCTGATATACTGTGTTCTCTGTGCATTATGGCCAAACATCTCCACTTTGGTCTCATTTGTCCAGTGGTCACTATTAGATGCAACTTTGCAAACCTAAGCTGTGCTGCCATGTTCTTTTTTAGAGAGAAGAGGCTTCCTTCTGGTAACCTTTCCAAAAAAGACATAATTTCTCAGTTTTTTCTGATTGTACTATCATAAAATTTACCATTTGGTATGCTAACTGAAACCTGTAGAGTCTGTAGTTCTTGGGTTTTTTCAGTTTTTCTAGCCATTGCACGGTCTGATCTTGGCATACATTTGATGGAAACTCCACTCCTGGGAACACCAGGGCACTGTGTTAACACACCTGAATGCTACAGAACAGCAAACATCTGCTGTTATAGAGAGAGTCACACCTGCTATGATCAGTTAATGAAGTGCATCTCATTAGCCGCACCTTCTGCTACTTACCCTCTTAATTCCTGTGGAAGCAGTAAAGATGTACTTTTTCAGAGAACTGGTCAGAGCGTTGTATGTAACACTCTGTCCAGTATATAACCAATTTTTTTTTTTAAATAAAGCTCACTACCGTGCAGAAGTAACTTCATCCCATGTGCAATTTAGAGCTGAAAGTTGTACCAAAAAAAAGGCCTTGCATACATTCTAATATACTTGTCATCAATGTGAATTTTCATAAAACAGATAAAAAAATGTGGCTGCACATAATGATTCCTCTGAAAATCTCTCATACAGCATCTCGTTTAAAATCTGACTGACAAATGTTAACAATTCACAACCTCAGCGTCAAACAATACTGCCAAAATCCATGCTGTAGCACATAATTCTGCCTTTGTACAGTTAGACCACAGACTGATTAGACTCGTGCTTTTCCCTTTCCCCCTCATCAGTTTCTGTTTGATCCTTCTGTCCCGATCACACACTCATGCAAATCCAGACGCGCTACAGAAAAGGAAATCCATCTTAAATTGATGATGCTAATAGATGAGGGAAGACAGTGACGGGATGGCAGATGTGTGCTGGATGGACAGATCAATAGCCTCATTGATACCTCCCTAGAGTCCCCCCCGCATCTTTCTCTACGTCCTCATCCCTTCACTTTGCTGTCTGCTTTCCTTTCTCCTCACATATGATGCTCTTTCTCTATTCAGCTTCCTCTAATCTCTCCCTCGACTCCCATCTTGCCCTTCTTCGTCTTCCTCTGTCTTGTCTGAGCCTTGTGTCTGAAATAATCCTCTCTCCTCGACATCTCTGCTTTTTCAGGCAAGAAAACTTCCCCATCTACATCATCTAAAACCATCCAGCATCTCTTTTCTGGTAAATCTATTCGAACACTG